CTGATTTTATCTGTTTTGATTTTATCTGTTTTGATTTTATCTACTGTTTTGTTTGTTTGTTTGTTTGTTTGCTTGTTTTAATCAATTTTAAATCCTGCTTTTTATTTGTTTTTGTTTCTAATGTCTCTGTAAAGCACTTTGAATCACCTTGTTGTTGAATTGTGCTATACAAATAAACTTGCCTTGCCTTACCCTACCGCGACACGTGCAGCGTCCACATGACTGGGATTCGTCTGTCAGTTTAAACATGTATTACAGTGTCTCCTATCTCATCTTATTGTACCTTACATGTTCTTATCTATCATTGAAAATAACTTCTATCATTGTTTGATTATTGCAGTGAGTTTCTCCTCGCAGGCTGACAGATCACATGGTCTGTGTCCTCCACCTTGTAGCCTGTTTGTCTTTTTCAAACTCCTTTTGGACTTGAGCCACCAAGAGTCTGCCAGGGGAAACGACACTCAGCTCGTTATTTATTCTTTTTAAATTGCCATCATTTCCGTGGAAATACTTTGGAAAGCTGTGCCTCCTCTGCTTTCCCCTTTGGACCTCAGTCACTGCTGTTCACATTTTCACAATCAGACTTCTCCTGATCTCTTGCCTTGGAGGTGCAGGCTGCTGGTTCAAGACGATCCTGATTCACTAACATACGGAGCGTGGCAAGAACAGAACAGGCTTCAGGTTTCATAAATGAGAGGCAGGTTTGCACAGGCTAAGAACATTTCCACTCAAATATTAGTGAATGAGGCCCAGGCTGCTGCAGGGAAGCTGCTGTGACTGTGAAACTATTTAAACATAAGCTGGAGGAAACACCATACATGGTTAATTACCTGCTTACAATGTACGATAATCTTCAAGACCTGGGCAGAAATCAACTGTGAGTAGAGCAGGACTCATCCCTGCATGAAAAATGATAGTTGCACTTGAATCATACGAAAACCTACTTGTAATATTTGATATGGTGTGAGGCTGTCCACTGTCCCTCTGTGCCAGCGACACCTCGGTGACCTCTCGTTACCTCCAAGAATGATACTTTGTGGATGTATGATTAGTCAGTGCTTTGAGCATGGTCATTACGTGAGTCACTTCTTAATTACAGTGCTATTCCATTTTAGTTAATATGATCATTTTTCTTCTGTCTGCAGTAAAAGGGTATACTGAGGATATTGCACTGTGCCAGCAGCGGCCAAAGCTATGCAGGCATTAAAGTCAGAAAAGCTAAATGCTATGTGTTGTTAGCATGGTGGACATATTGTAGCTTTCACTGGGTTCTTTGTGTGCGACTGGTGTAAACAGTGGAAAGAGAGATCTGTGAGGAGCGGAGCTGGCAGAGAGCTCCTCATAAACATCACTACAGAGCACACTGCAGGCTCCACCTCTTCTCTCCTTTCCTTCTCACTTTCACATAACGGTCGCTGTGTCATTGCACAGTGGAAATGGGATGGACTCAAGTGCAGTTTCAAACCCGGAGGCTAGGTGCGGCGTAACAAAAAGAGTCTTTCTTCACAATGCTCAGAGGCTAACAGAAATCTCAGACTAGAATTAAGGAACATAAACTAGACAACGAAAAACTATGACTATGACTAGATGGCAGGGATAACTGGGTGCAGGGACTGGGCAAAGCTTGCAGGTGGGGGTTGCTTGGAGGAGGAAGGCAGGAGAGGTCGAGGTGGGTGCTGCATGCAATGCAGGGAGGCAGGCAGGAGAGACTGGCAGTTCAAAAAGGTAGGTAGGTGGTAGGTGGGTTTCAGCTGTAAAGTTGGCAGATAATCTGGCGAAGACCAGTTGAGTGCGCAGGTCATAAATACTGCCGGTATGATTGCCATCAGGGGAGGAACAACAAAGACTCCACCCAGCGGGGAGGAGCCGATGCCGTGGAAAACTACCCAGACCATGACACGCTGCTTCTCTCTCTGTCTCATGCTCCCACTTTGTTTCTCCCACCTCTCACCCAATGGTTGTTCCGAGCTTCTCAGAGCTGTGGCGTCTTCCTGTTTCTTAGTCACCACTTTTCCCTTCGGCCTTCTCTTCCTCCACCTAAGCCCCCTCTCTTCTGCTGCTCTGTTGTCCGTCTACAGGTGGAAAACATCCAGCAGATGCTCTGGCCGTAGCCCAGGGAGTTGCTTTCTTTATTACCACGCGCCTCTTTATGACGATCATCAGAAATACATTCGTGTGGTAGGACGGACTTCTCCAAGGGTTTGACATGTTTATCTTCCTCTAATGTGCGTTCAGGTGAGCTCTTTTAATCACACTGCTATTTCATTAAAACAGTTGTAGCATGAAAAAGAACAGATGGCTATTTAATTGTTGTCTCACTCAGTAATAATCGACCACATTTATATTAAATGCCATCTGGAAACAGACCACACGCACCATACTCTCCGTCCCAAACGTTTGTGCTGCTCAAAAGGAAAAAAGGAAAAAATCTGGCACTAAGTTTGTTGCTAAAGACACAAATGAAAACATGGACTAAACAGCAGTCAAACTATTCACACAAACTTGGACAAAAACATGAGCTATCATGTGCCAAATGTTCCCTACACAACACAAAAACAAAGTGAGAAGCTTTGACAGTCGCTCGAGGCTGACTGAAGGAATCGGCTGAAACTGGCCTGCTGTTGGACTTATGATGAGAACTATGATCACAGTTAACTTAATCAAATCAATATGTATTCATTTCCATGGGCTCTACTTCAACCTTAATTCAAGTTAAAATAAAAAATAAATAAGATACAGAGGAAGGACACGGTGCTGGCCTACAGCAGAAAGACGTCTGTGGATGTGCACGCCACTCAAAAGCAGCCAAAGCTGAACCTGAGTCACGCTTGCTGCTATCCTTCTGTCACAAGTCTCCACCCACTCCACCCTGCCTGCACTTGTCTTTATCTCTGTTGTGCACACGTCATTGCTTTGGGTGATTGACCCCAAATATTTAAGCTGCACCCCTCCTTGCATCCTCACAGCTACACCTGTCTCCCTCTCATTCACACTCGTATTCTGTTTTGCTGAATTCCATCCGTCCTCTCTCCAGAGCATACCTCCGCCTCTGCAGGCTTCCACCTGCTCTCGCTACAGATCTGCAGACATCATGGTTTACAGAGAATCCTGCCTGGCTTCTTCTGTCAGCACGTCTATCAAAGACGATCTAATGTACTCTGCACTCACACATGTGCTGCACCAACCTGAAAGACTTCTATTGTTATGTACCCAGACTTGCCTCCCCGAAACACTGAGCACAACTCTTCCTTCTTCAACTTCCACCATTTAATCCTTGTCGTTGCCTTCACACGCTTCATCTTCTTGATTTGCAAAGTCATTCTACAACCTACTACCTGATGCTGCCTAACTACACCCTGACATCACATTGCAACCTCCTATCTCTTTCAAACTGCACCTTCTGCACAAGATATAATCTAAATGTGTGCACCATCTTCCAGTATCATTTGTCAGCCTGTGTTCCTCCCTCTTCTTCTTCTGTGTTCACCACAGCCATTTCTATAAGACACACACTATCTGTCCTTCTGCATTTGTCTCTTTAACACCATCTTTACCTCATCGTCTAAATGACATCCAACTTGTCGGGCATACACACTGACAGCATTTAACATCACACCTTCAATTTCCAGCTTCAGCCTCACAATCACGTCTCTCTTCACCTCAAGACTGTTCAGATACTCTTCCTCCAACATTACTCGTCTCTCTTCCTATCTGCACCGTGGTGGAGTGTTTACTTCCTTTCAGCCTAGTGAAGGACCTTGCACACACATATACCTTCCTTCTCTCCATCAAATCAGATCCTCTCCCTTTACCAGTTTTCCCACTGTCTCCAGACACACCTTCCCCCTTTCCTGTTCCTTTGTCTTCAGCCAACAGTGGCAGCAGAGGCAGATGTTGTTACCTGAGCCCTGACCAATCCTATATGGAGATCTCATTCTGGATAATCTGCACGTCTGATTCCTTTTATGGACTTCTGGAAAATTAATCACAAATGACTCTTCTCTTATTCTGGAATATAGTACAATAGCAATGAATATACCACATGTTTCTACATATACCTAACAAACATGTATTACTGCTCAAGGGTTAGGGTTAGGGTTAGGGTTAGGGTTAACCCCCTAACCCTATCTCAATTAAAGCAGCTAGCATGCTAACCTCTCTGGCACACCACACCTTCTGTCCCCAACACAAAGTTGACACCAAGCTTTACTCTTCTGCCACTATTAGAAATGATCTGCTTGTATTCCCTTAAATGCAGTTTCATCTCCCTCAGGCCAGAAACAGGTGCACACATGAGCAGAAACAGCTCTGAAATGACGAGCACAGCATCCTTTGGTTTTTCCTACCGTCTTTTCGGTAAAGGTTGATCTCCACCTTCCTCTCCTCCGACCCCAGGAGGGCCTGCGCCATCTGGGCAATAGCCAGTCGCTTGGTGTCAGGTCCATACAGGAAGTTGCACGCGCATGGCTTCTGCATGATCTCAGCCCTGGAGTAGCCACACATGTGGCAGAAGCCATCGTTACAGAAAATGATGGCGCAGTTCTCCACTCTGGCGTTGGCTATGATAAACTTGCGACCTGTGGGTGAAAGGACAAAGGTTTCTACTCAGTTATTTACTTTTCATTAACACAGCAACACCAACTCAATATATGATCAAATGAATGGAAACAGGTAGCTGAGGTTAATCGCATTTATCCTAAATGAAAGCTACGGTGACCATATTTGGATTTCCAAAAAACACTTGGCCCAGAAAAACTTTAATCATGCTGTTTGCTTAAAGAAACTTTTAACATATTTAAACGATGCCTTCTCTGTGCGGTTAATGAATGGTGAAATAAAAAATGTCATATGCAACAAGTGCAAAAAAATAACTTAAAAACCTCTGGGATTAAATAATGGTACCGAAATAAGGCCTCATCTGTAAAAGAACAAGTACCAGGATGGTACGAGGGAAATGACAGTTCGTCTGAAAAGCTGCAGTTGTGCTTTGACATCTTTTAAACATCATCAGCGCGCTGTCTGTCTCTCCTGTGAGCGCAGAACAACCACTCACAAAGCAGCAGCTCGGGGATGATGTCACACATGCTCTGTAGGAAAACCCGGACAGAACGTGAAAATGGACACGCCCGAGGAAAAGAGGACGGTTGGTCACCCAAGGATTCAAATATTTTAAGGTGGAGGCTCGTTCCTGTTCACGTCTTGTTGACGCTCTAGCTAAGCAAGATTTTTCAGCCAACGGCAGACTTCCCTGGCCCAGGTCGTTTTATCCAAATCTGTATCTTCATTGTAACAACATTCAAAAGCCACCAGAGGCAGCATTTCCACATTTTCTTCAGACTGCTTCTGCCCTGAACGACTAAAACCACTCAGACATTAAGCTAATATTAGCAGCTATTCTGTCCTTGCTTCTGTCAAACCGAATCTCCAAAGAGATTCAGATTTATTCATTTTCAATTCTAATATTAATTGAAACAAAGAAAAACCTTTCAGCCTGCTGCTACCCAACAAACAGCACCACATGTCCTTTTTGGGGCACATGATTTTTGGCACTTCTGCTGCTAAAATAACACTAACATGCAATAGAAATTAAAGTTTGTTTGTAATTAGGTCCAAAACTTGACACGGCAGCTGCAACCCTAACAGCCTCTTCTTCCACAGAGTGTCTCTCCTGTGAACCACTTACTGTAGAAGGAGCTCTTTTGCTCCCTGGCCTCTGCTCAGTGTCAAAATATGATATCAAGAGAGCTTTAAACACACTTTAAACAGACACTCAAACATGTTCCTTTACTCAGGACGCAGACTCTCACTCACTGTTTCATATGCTGTGAATAAAAAGTGTCTTTAAGGTAAATCTCGAGCGTCTTTGGCTAACACAGGAAAACAACATAAATGAAAGAGTCTGAGTGGGAGTGTGTTTGTGCTGTGTTAGCCTGACAGTCTGCCAGTTTGATAGATGGCTTCCACTAAAGAGCATTAAGCTTCTGAGAATGTTCCTTGTTTCTTTCACTTAGCCCCACTGTGGGAAGAAGGAAAGAGAAAAGAAAGGATGAATATAACAGATGTAAAAAGATCACTGAGGAAGACTTTGGGGAGAAAGAATGAAAACAAATAGGACACAAGCATGAAAGAGCTGAAATAATGAATGCAGGTATTTGGAGAAAGATCATGAGAGAGCGGGAGTAGAAGAGAAGTGATCCCAACTGTTGTCTGACTGAAGCAACAACTCTGCATTGATCACGGTGACCACATCACATCATCGTCCCTGATTATTTCACAGTTTGACTTTAAATTCAGTTAAATCCAAGTCTTTATTTATTCTATTTCAATTGTTCCTGCAGAGATCTTCCTAAGTAAGCTGACTTTCTCTTAGGCTCCAAGAGTTCCTGCTCCAAGAAGTCGAACACTATAACTGCTGTTTTTAGCAAACAATTTCCCCTTTACGTAGGCTGCAGAGAGCCCTAGTGAAACATTTGTGGCTGAAGAGCTGATGCCATTGTCTGTCATAATAAATGTGCAAAATCTTTTGTTTATTTTTAGCTTTCAGCAGCAGGTCACATTTTCTACGTTCCTCTGCAGTCACTCAGCTTCCTGACTGTTCCACCTGAAGACCAGAAACCTGACAGTCAGCAGGTCCTGATGCTGCCCGAGATGAAAATCCAGCACTGATATTACTCGGGAAGATTGTCATGTCAATAAAAACTCAATCAAAATATTTGCCAGTGATCAGGCTATTTTAAACGGGACTAAACTGTTTTATAATTAAGGTGTTCAGAACAGCATTTATTGTAATGTAAAAGTTGAATAATAATCATAATAATCCTGTGAGTCAGCCTGTGTGCTCATCTGAGGTAACTGGAATAAAAACTATTTATTGTTTTTAAGTGGAAGCGTTTAAGAATATAATCCTGTGGACAAACTGTGAATGTCTAGTTGCAGATGTTGTAAGCTGCGGAGATTTTGTTATCAGGAAACACTGCTCATAACATTTACTGAAGAAGAAAGAAACACACGGACTAAAGCCACAGGTTGTGAATAAAAGTCATAATTGACTAAATGAACATGACATCGTGTTCAGCTGGATTTGAAACTTCCAGATGAGACTGTTCGCTGTAAGGTATTTACTGATGTCACACAGACAGCATTTCAAAAAGTGGAGACCTGAGATTGAGACTTCTTAAAGAGTTTCTCTGTGACCATTATCTTCTTCTACAAAAATAGCAGTCACTCGAGAGATCTCCAAACACATTTAAAAGCCATTAGAAAGGCAGCATTTCAAGCTAGACATGCCCGTTATAATGAGGGGAAAGGCCTTTAAGGGACAGAGAGATATTTTTCACGAGGAGGCTGCAGATGGGAGGTGTGCATCAGAGGACTTTTTATGAGAGCTTTGGATAAAGGAGAGTCGAGAAGGATTCGCTTCTTTGGGTGGCATAAATTATTTAAATTAAGGTAGCAAGATTTTTGCTGCCTGGCAGATTCTTATTTGTGGATCTGAAAAAGAAACGAACCAGTTTGACTTTTTTTGGTCATTTTTATTGTAGAGCTTCCTCATGAATGATAAATCTTCCCCAAGGACTTCAGGCTATGATAAGGGAAGAACACCGTATCGCTGCAGTGACAGACGTGACTCTTGTGATTAGTTTTTGGTCAGTGACTCACACGTCGGCCCACACTGTACCTAGAACTGGCCCAACTCCTAGGAAACTGCTTTTAATGCTACAAAATGTAATTTTGTACATGATGACAGTTTGTTTTGTTTTAGTGTAGAATGTGGACACAGAGCCACGTCTTTAATAATCACCACGTGAAAAAAGAGGCTGGGCAATAACCACAAAACACAAAAGTAAAAACTGAGGAAGACTAAACTTCGAGGCTCTAAATCGATGCCAGGGAAGACTAATGACGAGCAACATCCACCAGCTCCAGCCAAACGTCTTCACCTCGCTTACTGATCGTTGCCTTGTCAGGAAATGTTTGAGAGCCAAAGCTGGCTTTTCTGTCAGCCCAGGGAGCAACTTTCCGAGCTGTCTCAGTCAGTATTCACAGCCGGGCTCATCTGCGACTCAGCGCCAATATTTTGGGAGAAGGTAATGTGTCATACATTGTCCCTATGATGAATGAATGAATGAAATTAAACCCACGTCGGTGCACTGGGTCAATTTTTCTTTCTAAGTGTTCTTCATTAAACTTGATTATGAAAAAGTCCCAGGAGGAGAAGATGGTAGACGGTCATTATTCCCTGTAAATTACATCTACGAAGAGGTTCACAGAGGGGAGTGTAGTAATTCCCTCTCAAATAGTGATTTATAAGTCATTTTATCATCACTGGCAAGACATGCATCTGCCACACCCGACAGTTCTGCACATCACATTCCAATCCAGCTCTGCCCATCGATATCACGCCTCCTGCATCGGGCTCGAGTTCGTGGAATTAGTTTGCAGACTCATGAGTCATTGTTATTGGAAAATGTGTCCCTGTTTCAATTGTCGAGCTGTAACTTGCTTATGGGGATACGATTATTTTTGATTGAGTGCACATTTCAGTGTCTATGGGTGTTGTGTTTACTTTTCTGCACTGTGCAAACATATAAAAGTCCAGAAAGGAAAACAAACCACACTTGAAGGAATATTCAGTTCAATTTTAATTTTACAATATGTCAAATAACAAAACAGTCGCCTCAATGTGCTCTGTATTGTAAGGTAGACCCTACAATACAGAGAGAAAGCCAACAAGCACTTTGGCGACAGTGAGAAGGAAAAACTTCCTTTGAACAGGAAGAAACCTCCGGCCGAACCAGGCTCAGGGAGGGGCGGGGCCAACAGTTCATTCAAGCAGCAAGTCAAACACACAAAACAACTAAAGGATATTTTTGACCACTAAATCGGAGAACTTTGTGACACAGAGCTCTCACACAACATCCACAAGGGTTTTTTTTAAAGATAGTTAAAAATAAACAGTTTCTGTGCTGCAACACTTCCAATAAAGGCGAGTAAAAGCTCAATGATACGTCTTTATGTTACACTGATGGTCGAGCCTTTGTGGCAGTTGAACCCAAATAAGTGGCAGCAGATTTTTCAAACCTCCGTCAGTCACGTCACAGTACAAGAATCAATACAATACAAATTTAACTGTATAGCACATTTAAAAACCAGAGGTCATAAATAAACTAGCAGGTGGAAGACAATAATTAACCAGGCATGCAAGATAAGATAAGATAAGATAAGATAAGATAAGATAAGATAAGATAAGATAAGATAAGATAAGATAAGATAAGATAAGATAAGATAAGATTACTCAGGAGTTAAAACAATACAAAACATTATCCAAAGGCAGACAAAGAGGTGTAGCATGGGGGGACATTCACATGATAGATACACTTAGGTAGCCGAGAAGGCCAAACCAAAGAAGTTTTCAATGGAGATTTGAAAGTCTGAACTGAATCAGACGCAGCAATGGGAGATTGTTCCAGAGGTTGGGTGCTACTGAAGCGAGGTTGCACCAAGAGCAATTGACCTGATGATCTCAGTGCTCTCCTAGGAATATACAGGCTGAGGAGATCATTAAGGTAGCTGCGCT